AAATAAATTTTTAAACCTCAAAAGCTGCCAGATTTAATCAGAAGTAAGAGTGAGTTTGGCAGAGGCAGCTGTTCTCTTCCTCTCAGCCTCCATCTCCCCTTACACCACCTCCCACCCCCAGCTCTACCATCCACTGCGGTCATGCAAGATAAACCCCAGAATTCACTGAAAGTTCTCACTCAGGACAGCCAGGGCTGAAACAGCAAAGAATGAAAACTTTCTGGTAGAGGCATACAGGTATGTTTCCACAATTCTTACTCGCAGGCAAGTACCATTGGTACCTACAAGTCCAGAACTGACTGACAAATTTAGAAGTTAAACAGCCCTATGCCGAATATAGATTCTCACTGCAAAACCACCAGCATCTGCTAAACTCACCTTCTTAAGAGCATGACGTTTTTCAGAAGCATGGTATCTGGATACTTTTTCTTGCTAATTTGGAGCATATCTTTATATTTATGCTTTTCTGACTTACTGACAGTTATGCAGACCCTCAAAAGCTTTGGTGTGTGCTTTATTCTGTTAATTTTAGCCACATGTTTTTTATCACCTTTCACTCAGCTTGTCAGCACTGGAATCTATGAATCCACTTCATTTAAAATGTTTGCTTCTTTATATGTACTGCAGATTGTAATCCATCTACACCACTGAGGGAAAGCAGCCCCTTTTCCCCAATGGTAATGCAACCAGTTTCCAGGAACAACCAAGCCATTACTAGATAGATGAATTCTGGAATGTCATCATCCAAACTAGCATTACAGACAGAATAAATCAACATTAACACTATTATACACTTTATATAAGAGGGCTCACAAAAGTATTCTGGGGGTCATCGAAAATTACAGTTCTCTTCCCCGATCTGGTAAAAAGTTACCCTTGTGCAGTTTTGCTTTAAATATGGGAGGGGGAGGTGGGAGGGAACGTGTCAGCAAGCAAGAAACTCCAAAAAGCAAACAGAAAAGCACAGTGATAAATAGGGAATTTTGTTTTTACCCCAGCAGAGATTTATCACTGTGAGAGTCTTGTGACTTTGACAAATTTTACAACAATGAGTTGTGTATACAACCTACAATAAGTTGTGTATACAACCTACAATAATTGACAGAGAATAATATATTCCATCTGCTGGAGATGTCCCAGGAGGCTGACCTTCAAGGTCCAAAAACTTTCACATTTTTATAATTTTTTCTCGCTAATAAAAAGCATTATGAAACAGCTATTCAGTTCATTTTGAGAAGCATACATTTCAGTGAATAGCTGTTATTTGAAGATGAAACTCAAGTGCATGTAAAAGATTTCAGTTACACTCAAATGTTATTTGTTTTTCCTCTATTTGGATCAGTCTTTATGACCTGCCACTCACTCTTGCTATCATAAGTAACTACCATCTTGATACTTAAGTGTCATCTTTAAATTTTACAGGAACATTAAAGATGCCAGAGAGTTCATACATGTCTCGTCATCCTGATAACAGACCTTGCTGCAGGGAATTATGTACATGATGGTTGACAGGTAAAGATCATTTTCAAGACTAAAGAGAACAATTATGGCTATAATCTCATGTGAGGATGAAGCCACTGAGTGTTTTGTATCACTGCACGAAAAAATTAAACCATACACCCTGGTATGAAAGAGTTCCTCAGTAGAAGCGTTAGATACCCATGAAAAGAATATATTGCACTAGGCTATCTTCAGCATTACAGTTATTTTCCAGAATCGTTTTTCTTAAATCCATGTTTGCTTTAGCTGTTCCTTTTTAATTTCTTTCTAAATAGCTTCCTCATTTTGAGAGGTTTGACTGCAAACAAGGAAACTATTATTGTGGAAGACTTTCGGCCTTTCCATTCCTGCAAGGATGGTCAAGTTCTTAGGCTTACAGAGCACTCTACGTTAGTCACACCCAAAACGCCATGCATGGTGCAGAACTAAGTCAGGAATTGTTTTCCTTTTAGGTTATCAAGTGTTTGTTTCAAGATTCTGTCATTTATGGTATGTAAATACTTAGTTTCTACATTATGCACTATCCATGTTTTTTATTGCACATACACAAGTATCTCAGAAACCTTAATGCTGATCATATCTATAGGCTTTATAAGGCTTCCCTTTTCTCAAACCTTCTTCATATAGAAGAGGAAAGCATTTTTGCCTAGCTTTGAAAGATATGCCTCCTAAGCAAGTTTTGAGCAAGCCAAGAGGATGCTGGGTGGACATGGATACAGGAACAGGATATCCTAAGAGAAAACTTATTTTCATGAAAAAAGCTGTGCTCACACAATGCAGTTCCTGAATTAAGGTAAATCTTCCCTTTGTCAAGGAAATTTTAACTTAATTTCAGCCTGTTTCTGCCCAGAACAAGGCATTTTCTTAGTGGGACTGTTATTCTGTTGCCTGCACTTGCCAGGCATTTGTTTCAGGTCTTCCTACAGTCTCTTTCACATCTGACTGGCGCAGCAGACTAGAAGAGCTGTTTTAAAGCAACAGCTCTGCTCCTCCTAGGTCAGGCCTATAAAAGTGATCTAATTCAACCTCGAAGTTTGCCATCATCTGTAAAACATCCAGCCCCCACAGCCAATGAATAAAATATTCCACTACAGCAACACTGAAATAGAAGCTGCCATGGCCCTTTTCAATTGCCTTTTTTTATTATTTTTTTCTCTGCCTTTTCAGCTTTTAGTAGAGGAAAAAAATACCCCCATTTACAGGCTTGAAGCCTAGTACTTCCACTTCCCAAGAATAGAAGCCTATTCATTCTGGCAAGGAGAAATTCACTGAGAGAAATCAGGTTTAAACTTTTGAGAGGTGTCAAGAATGTTCAGTCAATTGAGCAATCAAGTTAGCCAACTACATTCCTGGAAGCTTTGCAACAGAAGGAATGAATCAGAAAAATCAAATGAAGTGTGACTTGCCCCTGACACTGGCTAAGGCAAAATGTGAAAGAAAATGAAAAATGGATAAAACTTAATTGGTAAGGGAATAATACGCATGGCTGTCTCTCAGAACAAGAATAAATTAGACCAGCTATAATGAAAGTACAACAAGAAAACATTTTCAGAAAAAGTGGAAAAAATTCTTTCATTTTCCTCTGTTACCAAGCTGTCAGGCAGAAAAAGATACAGGCTTGTCTTTTCAATCTCTTTCCTCTGATGCACAGAGCTTTGCTCAGACTAACTATGAACATTTAAGGAACATAGCTTAAGTGAATAAACATGCACTGGCAGAGTCATGAATACAGGCGACATAGTCCTCAACATCTTAACTGTCTTCAGTACTGTTACAAGTTGCACAACACTTTGCTGCTTCTGTCCGTCACTGACTGCTACCACAATATCAAAATACAATCAGCAAAATCTGCTATTACATGGTCAGCAAGGGAAGCTGCACAGCTCTAATAAACCTGCTGAGAATGAACATAGTATTCTGTTAAGAGACATGTAGCTAAAGCAGCAAGTTTATTTATAAATCACACCCATCATCTCCTTTCCGAGAACCCTATAAAAGCACTGGAAATCCCAAACAACAATTAAAATACCACCACTGCTGAAAAGCATTCTGGCCTCAAAGCGACAGATAAAAGATGTATATAAGATTATAAAACATGAAATGTTTTAATGAAAATTATGTAACGAAAACCTCCATCAATGGAAGAAAGAAACTCTTCCACCCACAATGGCAGCTTATGGCTATCAGTTGCATGAAGCAGAGCCTTGAAGGTCTTTCTAAATCCCTGTGGGAGCCAGATGCTCCTACACCTTACAGATGTGCCTCAATATGCCACAGCTCTCAGATCCCTGCTTTTCCACATCTGACTGACTGCTCTAGCATGGATGACATTGTATTGTCAATGCAACCTATCTAGCAACTCTGTAAAGTCAGAGCAACCCAGTGAAACTCCTGCCTTTGGTTGTGTTCAATACAGAAGACACTACATATTCCCTCTGGGGGCAAAAATAATTGAAGTACTTTTTATTAAAGAAACCATCATGTCAAGACTACAGTCATACTCTCTCCAGGCTGAAATTGTGTGGCAGCTTCAATGTCACATAAGAGTAGCAATTTTATACACAGTTGATGTTCAGGTTTATCAAAGACAGATGAAAACCTAAGTCAAAGCACTACATAACATACCTTTGACTAGGGCCAGCATCTTTGGATACCTCAGTTAACTTGGCAAGGCTTTGCATGCCTCTAGGTATGGAACATAACTCCTCAGACAATGAGGAAATAATCTCCCCTAGAGCTAAAGATTTAGCAGATCCAGAACTAGCACAAGTTTCCCCAACCCCATCAGACAAAGGAAATCAACACAAAGGTGGAAAAACTAGCTTTCCAAAAAAACCTCACTTCACAGTAAACAATACTATTTCATACCCACATTTCCACTACAAACTTAATTTAAAAAAAAATTTTACAAACAAAGCAGTATCTTAGCTCAGCAGTGAAATTCAGCCAGTTTCCAGGTTGAATTACTACAGCCACTTACAGCAACACACAACATTTTAAATGAAGCAACAAAAAAACCCACTTATCAAAACCTCTTGGTTGATGTAGGCATAAAAATTTAGCTGTTACTATCACAATTTGTTTGCACAACATTTAAGAGGGTGCTATAAAAAAGCAAAGACTTTTTTCCTGTTTTATTTTCCTTCCTTCAGGCTCTATGTGAGGTAAAGTTTAAAGGTAGGGTAGATCTGAGGAAGCTTTCCATCCATGTCTGAGATAATTCAAAAAAGAAGAATTAACAATATATCCAACATCTTAATTGAGTTAACTTTGGTAAATAAAGAAAGCTCTTTTGATATTCACACCACATGAATCTAAAGATTTCCTTTAATTTGTGTCCCCCTGTTTTTGTTATATAATTGTCCTTAGTTTGAGGCATCTTGCTTTATGGATTAGTTTAAAATTATCTTTTCATGGAAATTTTCCCTTCATCAGTTCAATGCACTTTAACATTGTCTCTTAAAAAAATGCTAACCTGAACACAAGTGAAAGTAAATTACCTCCTGGTTCATCAATGTAGAAAGACACTTTTTTTTTTTCTTCTTGTTCATCAGTGTGATCATAAGTGATCTGTGGAATAGACAAGGTATTCTCTCCTGGGTTTATTACAGGTGCAGAACCGTTACCACAGCCTAGTTTCCCTTTTCTTTTGTATCTTCTAGCCTGTGGTAGTAGAAATGGGATGATATCAGAAGATGCTATCAAAACCAGAAAAGTACACATGTGAACTTCACTATACAGTAAATTCATTTGAAGTTGTATTATTATTTTTTTTAAAGAATGCAGTTGAAATTCAGTGAAAGTGTTACAACATTGGTTAATGTTTTCAAAGTGGCTGATTCTGAATTATCAACTTAAATCTGGCAAGATTTTAATTGTCAGGAGATGCCTAGCACATTCTGAAAATCAGGTCTCAAGTAAAATTTCTCAAACTGGATCCAAAGCTCAAGGCACCTAAAATACTAATCACTTGAGTATACAACAGCTTGGCTGTAACATGTTTCTAAAGCTTTAATTAAACATAACCATAGACTTTGAATTATAAGCTAGGCACTGTACGGCATTTTCCACTAAAGAAAATTTCACCTTTTACCAAAAAGGCTGAATTAGGCACATCAGGAGAAGATAAATCCTTCCTCCTGTCTCCAAAGATGAAGTTCTCCTGATTTTAGAAGCCTAAGAGGCAACCTAATAAACACCCTACAATTGGTACATAAGAACAAAAAATGAAGGTTTGGATTCAACTGGTTCCAAGCCAGGCTGGTCTCCATCTGCCTTTGTGACTAGAAGTGATGAATATAACAGTCACTCATATACTGACCACATGGCTTGTGCTGTCTGCCTCCTGGATGCTCCTACCACCTAGCTATATAAATACTACTTCTCACAACACGGCATTTATTTCCAGTCTTCATGACCACCTACCCTTTGGCTGTAGTCCCACCCAGTTCTACTACTCACACACCTCAAAACAGAGGTAAGAGGCATAGTTTAATTTGCCTGATGCTCCCATAACCTTCTGACAAGGAGCTGAGATCTAGGGCTACTGCACTCAATTCTGTAAAATACTCTGGCCTCTGATGTGACCACTAAGCTGTTAGCAGAGATAAACATCATCAGAAAGAAGAAGTATTCACACATATCAACACAAACAGCTGCAGGCTCAATATATTCACAAATGGGACAAAGTTACTTGGTCTAAGTAAAAAAATTCTTATTTTATTATGGTCTGTATTCAGTCTTTCGGAATTCATTCTTCCGTTCAGCTCTGCAGCAATTAAACAAAAGCATGCTCAAAATTAATCAAACAGGGCATGAAAAATGGTAGAAACACACATTTATTGTAGACAGGGGATGCACTACCGTGATCAGAATGCTTCTAAAGGCAAAGATTACAGGCTCCCATAGCAGGAAAAGAAACTAGGAATTCTCTGGAGAACAAATGCTACAACATGCACAAGATGATCAATATATATTTAAGTCTTTAAAATAAGAGGGTAGGTAGAGAAAGAACTAGTCTCCTTTGACAAGAGAAGACGATCCATTGGTAAGAGATGAAAGAACCATTACTATGTTCTTGAATTAGGGTTAGCAGTTCACAGGTAAGTTCAGGTTTAATAATATACTAGGGAAAGCCCTCTCACTAGAGAAAACAGAGGGAAAATATTAAGGGCACTAAAAACTGTATATTTTTTCCAGCTCTCCCACCATGGATTGCTTGCTGTTCAGCAATACATACTACCCAGCCTAACTTCAGCTTTACCCCTTTCCTCCTGTTTTGTTTGGTTTTTTTTTTTTTTCTCTAGTTATAAAGAAGTAACTCATGGCAAAGTTACACTCTGCTCAACACTGAGTAGACCACTCTGCTGTTACACCAAAACATACACATGCACACAGATCATGCTGATACAGCTTTCAACACGTGCTGTGGGGAAATCATACTGCAGTTCTCCGCTGGGCAACAGGCATCAGTGGAATTTCACTGCCTAAAACCAGGCCCCTAACATCACTTTAGAAACCCTGGTTATCTGAGCTAGACCTGCTGCAGAGCTGGGCCTCTCCAGAAGGGGTGCTGAAGTCTAAGCAAGCTTCCCAATGAAACTACATAACTACGTTCAGGCAATCCCACCTGTGTAGACAAACACTATTCCACATAACTGCAGCCACAGCTCGGGAATTTGCCCAAATTTCTACACACAGCCCCAAATAAAAGTACCATGGAGAGAAGTAATTGAGCAAGAAAAGCGTAGAAACTGTCAGCCACATGTTGAATGTGAACATACATTTTTAAACTAGCTTTCTCCTTCCTTCTTGTATGAATGACTATGCAAAATTAATGCAAAATGCAAAAGCGTCATCATTGACTTACACTACCCTTTAAGAAGGTAGAGGAGACTTCAAAGGGGATAAAACAATGGAGAACTGGCACCTGTTTGACCACCAGGACAAATTCAAAATTAGACGACATTTGTCCGTCAGGAATATTTTAAGGAAAACTAAATTAATCATGCTGTGGCAGAAGGAAAACAATCAAATGTCTCATTACAAATGTCTTTCAGCTCTCCAGATTCTTTGGAGACTTGATGAGGATTTTGGCAAGTTATCCCAATTGAATTAAAAGCAAGAACAGAATAGAGCTCTGCCAACTCTCCATTACCTGTTTTCTCAGATTAGGGCTAGATGGCGCTGGTGGTTTTTGGGGATTTTGTGCCGGTGGTGTAATATAGATCTTCCATGTTGCTGTAGAACTGCAGGATTTCTCTGCTGCATAGCACCTCCACAGAGTCTATAATAAAACCCAAAACGAATAATCTCAGTGAATAAGCAGTCACTGTTGTCCTGCAGGTCAGGTAAATCAGATTTTGCTGCAAATCAAACTGACAGCAAAATCTTCAATCAATGTAAAATTGCTGCAAAGAGTTCTGACTGCAATCACTGTGCTATATCATGCAATACTATGCCTAATAAAATACAGTCTTCCCTGTATATAACTGTGGTGAGTGTAATTTGCACCAGGAAACATACACTCAGCACAGTGATCTTAAGTACACTCTTTGTAGCGTTCTCCCTAGGAGCTGGGGTCTAACCCTGCCCACAGTAAAAAAAAAAAAACAAAACAAAACCAAACAACCCTCATAAAAGTGAATCCCCACAAGCATCACAGAATATTGCTGTTTCCCTTTTTCTGCAGTGTGTTACATTTTAGCATTTGTGCACCATGCTATTGCATTCTTTCTGTTATCATATAGAATGTTACACTGGGACATTTTTCTAAACTGAGGTGTGTGTATACATGTATATGTATATACATTCATCACCTCAGGATTTGGCAGATGCACAGGACCTAAGGGAATATAAAAAGGAAGTTAGGAATTAAAGATTATAACAAAGATTTTTTTAATTTTTCACCAAGTAGACTCGTTGTATCCAGTTAGTGTCATCATGCCTGTGAATATCAGGTTAGTAAAGCCTCCTATGCTCACTCGTAAGCAAGAGGACAGGCAATTACCTAATTCTCTCTAGTGACTGAAAGCAGTTAAACACAAGTTATAGATTTATAATGAAGTCTAGTAACTGTGATTCTCAGTACTTTAACTACTAGGCCACACTCCCTCTCCAACACTCTAAGCGTTTTACAGTTAGGGGCCTTACCTGAATTAGGGAAGCTGCAGCTGGGATTTGTCTGTTGAAATGCTTCTGACGTTGCTTCTGCTGTACTTTCAGTGCAAAACCAGACCCCAGAATACCCTAAATATAACCAAAATTTCTAGTCAGACTCCAATATGGCTTCACATGCCTAAACCAAATACCTAGCATATGAAATAAACAGACGTTTTATAAAAGACTTTCCCAGAAAAATAAAAGTTCTGAATTTTCAAGTGTCCACAGTGACAGAACTCTATTTATCCCAACAATAGAGCACATTGATATTGGCATCCTGTAACTTCAATAAAGAGCATGTGTTTATTGCTGTGATCTCCAGGTAACATTAGTCAGAGGCATTCAACAGAGGCAGTCACGTTCCAAAGACAACCCTACACAATGGTGGGAGAAGCCAATGCCAATTGTCACATGACTGATCTACAGCTATTCTTTGCGCTTGTTTTTAATGCCTTGCCAGAACCCACCCCCCACCCCGCCCTGAAGCCAGAACCGAGTTTGCTTTTCCAGGCAAATTGAGCAAAGAAGCCAAAGATATGCTTTATAATTTCAGCATATCTGTTAAAAATGATATTTACTGAAGAAATACATTGTCTTTTCTAATTGTTTTGATGTTGTTGTCTCTATTTTCCCCCCATTCATTTATTTGAAGATCCAAAAAGCCCAAAGGTGCTTTATAGTACCATGTAGGAAAGCAGACGCAGTTTCCTAGACCTCTGCTTCATGGCAGTGCTCCTCCCCTCACAGGACCCCAAACTGTTCTTATATAATCACAGATTAGCAGAAACAAAGGAAGTTTCACCTCTGGCACCTACATGCTGATAAAAGACCTCTCCTTACCTCACAGATTAGCTTCAGTTCTCTTAGTAGTGAAAATTACTCTTGCCTCCTTTCTAGGCCACATCGCTCTAAAATGACTGCAGTAAAGATATACAGCAGTTTCATTCGTGTGTGTCTGCACAGACACAGAAACATACACTTGAGGATATGTGTGTGCACATTCTGTAGCAATACCCAACCCCATTATTTCCTATCAAAGGCATCAATTTAAAATTGCCTAATTGTGAGCCCAAATCAGACAGATAATTTAATAAAGTGATCCAAGTTCCACTTACCGCTGGCAGAGCAAAGAAAGATATAGCAAACACTGAAAAACAGGAAGCTACTGTCTTCCCAATCCATGTCTGGGGAACTTTGTCTCCATAACCAATTGTTGTGACCGTTACCTAGGCCAGAAACAAACATGTGATTCACTGCAACGCAGTACCTTTTTTCCCCAAAAGCAGGAAAAAAGAAAGAAAGAAATAAAAAGTAGAGAAGTATCAGGAAGTACATATGGATCAACAGTGTTTGTATTTGTGTATAAGGAAACCACAGGAGTACACTAAACATCACTGCAGATTTATCCTGTTTTTGCATTCTTCAGCAGACGTTCACAACTGGCCACTGTTTTGGATGCAACAGTACTTTGGACGCGGGATGACTGTTCTCACAGTTTGTAGCTGGCTGCTTCCTCCCTCCCAAAACTGCAAGGATTGGCTCTGTGGGCTTGAAACCATAGGCTTGCAGTTCTTCTGCTTTTGCTTTTAAAATGCAGTGCCACAGGGTTGAGAAGAAAGCCTTGAAAGCACTGATTTGCACACAACCAATGCACAGGCATCTGCCAAACTCTGCAGTCAGGTGGAGACACTAGCTGTGGCAGGGTAAGCTACGCCCTGTACTGGAAGGAAGGAACAGGGATAGAACTAACACCATCCCAGCTGAATCTTCATAGCAAGAGGAGGAACACACCACCATTCCAGGACACGTTATCTCCCAAAGTAAATATGCCAGTAGACCAAGAGCTAAGTACAGCTGTCCCCCCCAATACAGTTCTCTGCCACTCAAAATTGTGTTTAAGCCACAGGATGCATCATATTGCTGTACCTGGATCTGCTCATTGCTTATCAGGGTACAGCAAGGGCCAGGTACTCCCTAAGAAATGGGAAGCCCAGAGTCAAGAGAGACAATATAGCCAGCAGGGCAGTGACTCCCCAGTCAGGACCCAGTCCCACAGCACCCAAGCAAAACAGATGCAGAAAGAGCAGCCAGGTCCAACCAAGAGTCCAGATTATAATGCAATATCACAGCAATGAGGCAGGTCCAACATCAAGCCAGGAAGTCCACCCACAGGTCAGGGTTAGGATCAAGTCCAGTGGTCAGCATGTGGGTCCACAGGGATGAGGCAAAGCCAAGATATCAGCCCACGGGCTGAAGTCAGGATCGAGGGACTCCATAGCAAGACATAGCTGCAGTTGAGCTGAGACCACCTCTCCTCCAGCAGAGTGCTGAGCCCCTGTGGCTGCAGGCCAGAGATGATGCTGATCAGGGTCATTAGGCCAATTAGTGTCCTCAGGGCCATGACAACAGCCTCCCCTCTCAGCAAGGCACGGCCCCACACAGGCCTGTGATCAGTAAGGACTTACTGTACAGGGACTAAAACACTGTGGGGGTGTCAGGCCACCCCTGAAAAGCCACGGAGGCAAGGAGGGCCTGAGTGGGACAGAGGGTTTGGGCTGTTCCTGATGAGCCCCAGTAGACTGGAAGAGAACTCATTAGGAGCCCAGTGGTCAGTAAAGGGTTGGTGCTGTGGGGGGATCAGAGTCCAGGTGAAGGCTGGTCCATCCGAAGGATTTGTAATGTAACAAGGGTGAGCTGCTCCCCAACAGAAGGTGATCCCAAGGAGGGATCCCAAGGCAAGCCCACAGCTTGCCAGACAGGGGCCCCACCACCCTGGGCCCAGCCCCACAGCAGGACAGACTCACAGACAGTGGCCATGTCCAACAAAGAGTCTAAATCATACAGCAATATCAAGGTGATGAGGTAAGTCTGGGGTTGAGTGTGGAAGTCAGCCCATAGGATGAGATCCACATCACCAGACCATGGCTGAGTTGGAGACCAAATCTCCTCCAGCACAGCTCAGGCAGGGAGTAAGTGTCCAGGGCTGAGCCTAAATAGAGGCTCTGGGCTGTGGGTCTTGGGGTGGCCCCAGGTGTGGCTGGTCAGGGACATTAAGGCTTTTTAGCTTACTCAGAGCCCTGACACTGCCGTAAAATGGTATGAGAAAGATGACTTGTACCCCTGAGAAGTGGAAAGCTTCCAGTGAGGAAATGAAGGATTCTGTCACTAATATCAACCACTGGGGAGAGCTTTAAGTAGAAAAAATGTACTTCTATTTGGGAGCACCAGCCCTAAACCTAGTCCCACTCCCGTCGCTTTGCCTTGAATGGTAGCAGAAATACAGCCAAAACAGACTTAAAAGAATATATAAATTTACACTGACTACAAAAGAGGATGTGGAAATACTGCCTTTTATGGGAAAAGTTGCTGACAAATACTTAGATATTATGCAAAAATAGGCTTCTCAGAAGAAACTATCAGTAATAAAGGCATGGGAAGAATATATTTCTTCCTCCTCTCAGAGCAGTTCTACAGAGCGCTGGAAGGAAGATTTGCAGGGAAAAAATGACCAACTACTATCGAACTGAGTTTTTCAAGTTCAAAAAAATTTAGGCTTGTGTTTATTCATCATGAATTTCTCACTTGATGAAGTCAACTTTGTAGTATCTATATCCTCTAATGAATATTGTTATTTTGAACTGCAAACCGCTCTCAGCAGGA